GTAGAGCTATTCCTGGCTTTTGAATGTAGAAACAGGTGTTTGTTTCACATTGCACAAGAAAGGAAGTGCTTTTTTAGGTTAAATGGCTGATGCAATCCTGAAGCTATTTACAAACCTGCAAGGTGTACTGCAGTGACCTTTCCTCCCTTCACTATGCTGTAAAACATACACACACGTGTTTGTTTACTGCGGCATAACATACTTGTGGATTTAGGAATAGATCATATGTGCCCCCCTTAGAATGGTATCTGAAAACAAAAGCCTGGGGTAATAAACTGATTATTTCCACAGAGCATGAGGCACTCCTCCCCCTCTGTGTTGTATTCTAATTACAATTTCCCATTTGCTAGTATTAGTTTTGGCCTTTATGTATCCTGGAGAGCCAATCCTTGAAGAAGGCTCCTATCCCATGGCTAGAATTTTGGTCAATGCAGACTCTGTAAGAGGCAGTGTTTCAGCATTACTGTCTTACAGTTTGGAGAAAGCCCAGGCTTAGTAAAACAAAGGATTTGCAATGTAGATTACCAATGTGGAGGAGGAGATTGGGTTTATACCCTGCCTTTCACTTTTGGAGTCTCAGAGCGGCTTACAAACTCCATTCCCTTCCCCTCCTCAGAACAGACACCCTGTGAGGTAGGGCCGGTCCACCCACTAGGCAAATTAGACTTTTGCCTAGGGCGGCCCCTGGAGGTGGGTGCTGAACTGCCATGCCGGGCCCCCCCGCCCCCACCAAAAGCCCTGCTCACAACTTGCATCGCATATCCATGCTGCCCTGCGCTGTGCACCCATCGCCGCCATCCAGATCCAGGGGCACTCCCACCCGCCCCATCAGGTGCAGCGCGGGGAGGAAAGAAACAACCTATGCCCCAGTCCCACCCCTGCCAAAAGCCCTGCTCACAACTCGCGTGCGCGTGCCCATTGCTGTCTTGCGTGCGCCCCTCGCCGCCCTCTGAGCCAGCCAGTTCGAGCAAGTCACAACGCTGATTCCCTCGCAGTTGCAGCAGCCCGCCCCAGCCACTAGCCAGCCCACAGGGAAGGTAAGTGCTGCTGATGAGCCATGGGGCTGAGAGACCTCTGAGAGAACTGTCCTTGAGAGAACAGCTCTGACGGAACTATGGCTTGCCCAAGGTCATCCAGCAGCTGCAAGTGGAGGAGTGGGGGATGTGATGCCTGCGGGCACTGTGGTGCCTGCAGATACCTTTCCTGGTGCCCACCAAGTATTTTTAGAAAGTGGGTAGGGCCTGGTGGAGCTTTTGCCCAGCAAGGCTTCTGAGAGTTTGTTGGAGAGCTGACTGGCTACACAGACTTTTGAAAACATCACTTTGGCAAAAGCTGCCATCACACCACAAGGATCCTCATGGCACTGTGGTGCCTGCAGATACCTTTCCTGGTGAATGGCTACACAGACCTTTGAAAACATCACTTTGGCAAAAGCCGCCATCACACCACAAGGATCCTCATGGCGTGACTGAAGGTAAGCTATGGCAGCCATTTTGTGGCTCTGCTCACCACCCTGTGTCAGAATTCCAAAGGTACCCACAGGCTCAAAAAGGTTGGGGCCCCCTGCTGTAGCATATAGACCTTGTTCACCATTAATTTCCCAATACTTTAGAAACATACAGACTATTTAAGTCAGGGGTCCCTAACCTTCTCATGCCTGCAAGCACCTTTGGAATTTTGATACAGAGTGGTGGGTGCAGCTACAAAATGGCTGCCACAGGAGGCGGAGCCAACCACAAAATGTCAGGGAGTGAGGTTATGGTGGAAAGTGCCATCAAGTCGCTTACGGTGATCCCAATGCCAGTAAGCTCCACAGTGGCTAAGAGAAGACTAGGTCTGAGCAAGATGGAGCCGCAAGGCGAATAGCAATGCCGGACTTCCTTGGTGGTTTCCCATCCAGCTACTAACCAGGACGAACCTTGCACAGCTTCTGAGATCTAATGAGACTGGGCTAGCCTGGGCAACCCAAGTCAGGGTAACGAGGTTGTGCATAAATTAAATAGTAACATCAGCATTTCAGGCAGATGCTCTGGGTAGAGGAACAGAATGTTTGAAATGTTTTGTTGCGTACACACAACGTATCTTCGACAACACAGTGAAGATCCTTGTGCTGTGGTGGCAGCTTCTGCCAAAGCAACTTTGAAACAATTTGCAATGTGAGTAAGCTCTCCAGGGGTCAAGGGAAGACGAGGTCTGAGCAAGACGGGGCTGCTCCTCCCTCGTCCCTTGCTATCCTCTCTCCTAAATAAGACATCAGGTTGTTTTAATGTTCAGTCTTTTAGTATCCTTTTGCAACTTTAAAGGATTGTTGTTAGCTGCTCTGAGATGGTATTTGCCCGGAAGAAGCAAGATACAGATTCTCAACAGAAAACAGATGATTGCAAAGTATCCAATTCAGACTTTGTTAGCAAACAGTGTATGTGGCTATGATGATGGTAAATAGACCACAGGCTAAATCTAGTCTAGATTAGTTTGAAACAAATTCATCCCACTTCCCTTTTTCTCTTACCACATGCACTTTCCGTATGTATAATATCCTTTTAGAAATTAACCCATTTTACAGCCGATGTACATTGACGCTCCTCCACCATGCACAGATGGACTTTTCGTACATATAAAGAAGAGAAAGTAGATATATCGAGACATCCTCTTTCGTGCGGGAGTAAACTTGCTCAGTCTTAAGGTGCCACTTGATTTCTTTTTTACTTTTCTCTCAGGCTAGTCAGCAGAATTCTTTTGAAGATGAGAGGGGTGGTCTTAGAGTGACTTAGTGGTAAAAGGCACTCTTTGCATATCAGGGGCTGTTGCCTATCCTGTATGTAATCCAGGTATCCCCCAGATCTTGTTGAGCTTACAGGCATTATTGCAATGTTCAGAACAATTAATGGGGCTTACCATGCTACCGTGGGGGAGACAGCCAACCACAAAATGATTGCCATGGAGGCAGATTCCAATAATACCTTGCTGAAATCTTCTCAGCAGCCAGAGAGGGAGTGACTACTAAACAAGGTGGCCAAAATATGGAACACCAGCTCACACAACTGCCCACTTGCAGGCTAGGGTTGCCAGCCTCCAGGTGGGGCCTGGGGATCTCCCGCTTTTACAACTGATCTCCAGCTGACAGAGATCTACTCCCCTGGAGAAAATGGCTGCTTTGAAAGGTGGACTCTATGGCATTGTACCATGCTGAGGCCCCTCCCCGAACCCTGCCCTCTCCTGGATCCACCCCCAAAGTCTCCAGGTATTTTCCAACCCAGACCTGGCAACCCTATTGCGGGCCCATCAAGTGTCTCTGGCTTATTAATGGCTGGGAGGGAGATGCAAAGCAAATATTCCTGCGTTTGTATGTGTGGGGGAGGTGTCTCTCAGTTTAGGTTGTCTTACCGATTGAGTGTGCTGTCCAGGGCCAGCAAGTGAAGCACAGCGTTGGGCAAAGAGAGCTGCGTGCCGAGGGGCAGAGGGCTTTGTCTGGCACAACACAACACCTAACCTCAGGGCTGAGGAGAAGCTGAAAGGTGCACAAGCAGAGATCAGCCTCTTAAAAACCCTTATGACTTGAAAAAAGGTGTTCTTGAATGGCAGGTCTCGCCTACGATGACTGGAAGGCTGGCTTTCCAAGAACCCCACACACAGATTTTGAAAAAAGCCACTCCCTGCAGCTGCTGTCTGGCTTTGGGGGAAAATAAGCCGAACCATACTCATTAAACATCGTATACGCAGGGGTCATTTCCTGCAGGAGCGCACAGGAGCGGAGCTCCGGCAGTAAAGAGCCCAGGGGGCGGGCACATGCAACAAGCCCCACCCCCTGCTCCCAGCACCCCTCAGTCAGAACAAGAAACAGCCAGGTAAGTTGCAGAGCTCCCCCCCAGATCTGCACGTCCCCCCACCACCACCACAACGGAATAGCTAGCAATCCAAAACAGTCCAGTGGGACCTTTAAGACCAAGCTTTATTCAGGTACAAGCTCTCCCTCCTCTGCAAGGGCAGATCTGCATGTCCCCCGCCCACACCACCACCGAATAGCTAGCAATCCAAAGCAGTCCAGTGGAGCCTGAGTGGTGGGTGTTCCCTTCTGACACACTTCCGGTGATGTCAGTGGGTGTGGCATATGCAAATAAGTTATGCTAATGAGTTATGCTAATGAGTTCCTGCACCTCTTTTTCTACGAAATGACCCCTGCGTATATGGCTTCCACTCTAACTTTCCCCCCCTCACAGTTTGTTTGCTTGGGCTTCTGTTAGGTAGCTGCTGCACAGTCACTTTGAAGTGGACTTCCAGACACTATTCAGGATGGGTGAAAACTACAAGAGATTGTGAAGAGCTTCCAAAGGACCTTTCCAAACTGGCACATGGGTAACAACTTGGCAAATGAGTTTCTACATCCCTGAGTACAAAGTAACATACAATGCGGGGGAGGATCTTAACTTTACATATAAATTGAATTGAAGGGGCCTGGTGGTGATTGACCAGAAAGTAGATTTTGAGGTCATGGTGAAATGAGCATGTAGAAGCAGTGAAAAAAAGACAAATTCTATTTTAGGGAATATTCAGGGACTGAAAACAAAGCAGTATATCAGAATTTATTGCAAAAGGTCCTTATCAGTGGATGGAGGGAATCCAGGTTTGGCTACTGTACCCACTTTCTCCACAAACAGGATTGTGCTAATTACTAGGGTTGCCAGCCTCCAGGTGGGGCCTGGAGATCTCCAAGAATCACAACTAGTCTCTAGACTACATGGATCAGGTTCCCTGGAGGAAATGGCAGGTTTGGAGGGTGGACTGGATGGCACTGTATCCCACTGAGGCTGTTCTTCTGTGGCTCATATACCACTAAAGGAAGAAGTTTTTATTGCCCAAGAATTGTCTGGTACTAGTCTTCATTGGAGGCTTCCACAAGCTGAAACAGAACCCCTGCAAAGAGCAGTCCAAAGACAGGATCCATCTCAGTCCAAAAATCATTGTCATCTTGACCCAGCACTCCATTCTTGCTGGTCCGGGAATTACTGGCAGTAAAATGTCAAGACGTTTTCTTGATTGCCTCGGGCCAAGATGACAGGAGGTCTCAGATCTTGTGACAGGGTTTCCAGCCAGGCCATATAGAGGCTACTGGGACATCTCCCCTTTCTGCCTACTGGCAGGGTTCTGCAAAAGAAACAAGTGGTAAGGTAGGGAGTGTGGTTTGTGTTTATTCGTTTGAAATTAAGGTTGTGGAGAAAGTGAGAGCAGTTGCAGTGGTAAATGCTTTGCTTTGGGTCTTTCCTGCATCATAAATGAAAACCTGCAGTTTCCTGGCTGGGCCACTAGACTGTGCAAGAGTACAAACTATAGGTAACAGGACCTTTAACAAATTTAGCATGGCGTGACAGCTGGAAGTATGTTCTGCCCAGTAAAGCAGCCCCCTGAAAGTTGTGACCTAAGTAGGGAACAGCTAGATATGCAACAAACAGTCATTTTGTTGCTCCTTCCTTTGGCCAGATCAGCTTTCAGGGTTGCATTTTTCTCTCTCATCTTGATCCCTAATGAAAACTGATCTAACCATTATCGATTAATTGTGTAGCCAGTTACTACAAGTATAGAATTAAGCTATGATCTTTTCAAGGATAAAGACCATCATTATCTTTAATAATAAAGTAACTAGGATTGCCAATCTCCTGGAGACCTCCCCAACCAAAACATTCTGCCAAAATGTGGCGGGGAAAGGCAGGCCATGGTGGAGTGAGCCAAGGTTGGCAAATGACACTGAACATTCATCCACTGAAGACAAGAGTGTGAAAGCATATACCAAACCACAAGGAGGTTGTATGAGGATGCTTGATAGGGCCTTACTGGAACTTCAATGCCCAATACAAAGCGGAATTGGGTCCTGGGTGGACCAAGCATGCCTCACATCTAAAGTATATAAGAAGTATTCAGAGATGTTAAAAGAAGCTGGAAACAATACCGTAAGGATAGTGTCCTGAGCAGTGTTCCCTCTAAGATGAGTTAGTGTGAGCTAGCTCACAGTTTTTTAGCCTCTGGCTCACACATTTTTGTCTCAGCTCACGAAGGAGGACTCCAGAGCAAACTAATTTATTCAGCAGCCAAAGCTCCTGCTCACCACTTTAATGCCAGTCGCTCACAAAGTAGAATTTTTGCTCACAGGGCTACATAGCTTAGAGGGAACATTGGTCCTGAGACATGCAGGAATGGAAAAACAACCTCAGGAGGAAATCTAGGCCAGGGCATAGGAACACCCTAACATTTTGTGTGAAACTGCACAAAAGCCACAATAATTTTAATAGAATAAAAATAATGAACCCAGTGTTCAAAAGCCCAAGGATGGCACCTGCATGCCTGTCTCCTGTTACCCTGGAGTCTGGGAAACGTGAGGACAGAGGGCAAGCACAAGCCTTCCGTGTATCAGGGCTCATGGGCAAGGAAGCAGTCTGTCCCTTGTTTTCCTTCATCCTGGTCCACACCTATGAATATTGCTGTGTCCATATTTAACTTGCTGCACCCACGGAACATGGTGCACCATTAACTTAAATACCCATCAACTCATTACCTGTCACACTAAAGGCACCCCCCCACACACTAGCCACATGTAGCACCCCACCTTGTGAGCTTGGTTAACATGCTGTTTCTACTCCGCATCTGCAGAAACAGGAGAATTCTTGCAAAGCTCTTGATGTGGCTGGTCAGTTGCTGCTTTCAGCACGGTGGCACACAAATTATGTAGGCATGAACCAAGCATTACTTTTCCAACACTGGCTTCTCCTTAAAGGGTGACAAAAGCTTCCTGGAGGACAGTGTGAAACTTCAGCTGGTTAAAATAAACAGAAGATTTGTATTTGAAGAAGCGGGCCCTAGTCTGCAAAAGCTAGTGCTGAAATCCGGTCCTCTTAGACATCCAGGTGCCTCTAGACCCCTGCTTATTTTTGCTGTAACAGATTCACACAGCTGCCTGTCTGGAATGATCGTAATGGAAGGCATTCTAATTGGTTAGTTTGCTACTCACATGAATATGAGGGCTGCATCCCGCGAGTAATCCAGCAAGATCTCATTCATCCTTACTTGCCGAAGGGACTGAGGGAATGGAAGAGGACAGAAACTACCATTGAGTATGGTGGCATAAAGCAGATATATTTTTGTTCAGGTGTTACAGATCTCTGGAAATAGATTCACATTCCTCACAGTTCAGGTGCTAAAACTGAAGTAGGAAGCCGCTCCTTGCTATAGGCTTGCCAAGTCCCCCCCGGGGGGCGGGGAAACCCCTGCCCCAGAGGCCTGTCACCCGCCGGCGGCGGATTGTTTCCTGAGGATGTTTCCTGTTTCCTGAGGAGGTTCTTTTTGCATGTGGATCCTAATCTTATCTGTAGTGCTGTTGTCAGATGTAGAGCCTTTTGTGTTTTTCTTCTCACCTAGCAAGGTTTGACACTCTCTGTAGTCTGGAGATGAGCTGTAACTCCAAGGCTCCATAGCTCAAAAATGTGATACCAATGGACGGGGGTTGGGGGAGATAGCATTTCTGGAGCCACAGCTGAGAAGAACTCAGCCAAACATCCATAAAGGATGGAAACTGGAGCAGTACAAAGGTTGCCAACTGTAGCCTGGGAAATTCCTGGACATTTTGGGGTACGGACTTTTGGAAGGGGGGAATGTTTAGGGAGGGATTGCTGTGACGTCTGAAGTTGCCGTTTTATCCAAGGGAACTGATCTCTGTAATCTGGAGACCAGTCATAAGTTTGGGAGAACTCCGGGGGCCCACCTACTGAACCAAAAAACATTTGCAGCCGCTGAGTCCCGCTGATAATCAGGCAGGAGTCTTGATGATATATCCCAGTCTTCATTTTTAAACAATATTCGCATCATGAATCTGTTCAGTGCTTTTAGAGTTGCCAGCCTCCAGGGGATCAGCATCAGAATGCCTTAGACCAGGGGTGGCCAAACTGTGGCCCAGGAGCCACGTGCGGCTCTTTCACAATATTGTGTGGCTCCTGGGAGGGCAGCTGGGGAAGTGAAGGGGAGCCATGTTTCCCCTCCTTCCCTCCCATCTATTTGCTTTCTTTGTTTCTCTTTCCATCTCTTTTCTTCTTTTCACCTCTCTTTCTCTTTCTCTTAGACAAGTAAATATCATTAGCAAACAAATAAATGTACTTGGACTTAAATAGGCTTGCCAAGTCCCCCTGGGGGGCGGTAAAACCCCCACCACAGAGGCCCGTTACCCGCCGCCGGCGGATCAGGCCCCAGGGGAACCCCACCCCCAAAGCACATGACGTGCCCGGCGTCAGCACATCACCCGGAAGTGACGCGGCCACACCACGCGCTGGGGGCGGGGCCGCGGTCATCTGAGGGAAAACTCTATGTTTTTCCCTCGGATGACTGCGGCCCCGCCCCCGGCGCGCCCAACGTGGCCGCGTCCCTTCCGGGTGACGTGGTTGTGGCGCGCGCGCGCTACACGTGCACACACACACTCCCGGACTGGCAGTGACTGGCAGAGTCCTACATCGATTTGTTTTCCTTCTATGGTTGCCAACATCCAGGTATGATCTGGAGACACACACACCCGTCCCAGAATTGCAACTAATTTCCAGACAACATAGATCAGTTCCCCTGCAGAAAGTGGCTGCTTTGGAGGGTGGACTGTACGGCATTATATCCTGCTGAGGTTCCTCCCACCTCTGGTTCCACCCCTACATTTCCAAGAATTTCCCAACCCAGAGGAGGCCTACCATATTTCCTCCTTCACAGTATGTCAGGAGCCACTAGGGAAACGTCAGACAGATATGTTTCAACCTTGTGCAGCCATCTGTAAAGACTATAAAGCTTCCGTGTTAGGGTAGGGCCTCGCCTGGACATCAGTGCTTTTAGAAGAGCTAGTTTGCCTCCTCATTTTATGGCTGTTTAAGGCTCAGCACAGACTCAGTGACAAAATAGCAGGGTGGGGAGGGGACACCTACTGCACAAAGTTCAGAAGCAGAAAGACTTTGTGGCAAGCCTGGACAGGAGCACAAGGACCCATGAGCCAGGCTATGGCCTGGAATCAGGTCTACAAATCTGCCTCCCTCTCCTGCTCTTTGATGCTTCCTGTTCTAGGCTCAACAGAGTCAAGGCAAAACCACTTCCAGGCACTAGACAGACTGTAGAAGAAGAAGAGATCGAATTTATACCCCGCCCTTCACTACCTGAAGGAGTCTCAGAGCAGCTTACAATATCCTTTTCCTTCCCCTCCCCACAACAGACATCCTGTGGGGTAGGTGGGACTGAGAGAGCTCTTTGAGAACTGTCCTTGAGAGAACAGCTCTGAAAGAGCTTATGACTGACCCAATTTCTTATCTGTCCATGTTTGTTGTATGAATTGCTGGTCCCCTTAAAAAATTTCTTATCTGTCCATGTTTGACCCAAGGTCATACCAGCAGCTGCATGTGGAGGAGTGGGGAATCACACCTGGTTCTCCCAGATTAGAGTCCGCACTGCTAACCACTACACCAAACTGGCTCTGTACGATGCACTGTTTCATAACGGCAACTAGATTTGGAGTAAGTTTACCCATGGCCGATTTAGCATATTGGCTCTTCAGGACTTCAGAATTTCCTGTGGAAGCCTTAAAGACACAGGGGCCCTGGGACCACTCAAAAGGTGGCGGCCCTCATCTCCTGCGTTTCTGTGGAAGCAACATCTGAAATCCCCAACCTTAGCTTTGTTTTTGGTGACCTCCTCATCAGAAATCTTCCATGGACAGTCGTGTCTCATCTCATTCACCACTGCCTCGTCTTTGAAGCCATCGTGAAGTCTGAATGGGGCGATTAAGTCATCAAATCTCTTCACGCTGTGGACAAAGCCATTGAGCCCTTGTAAGCAACACTGGAAACAAAGACCATCCCAAAGCTATTCCCCAAGGAGATTCCTGTATTTACTCTAAAGTTGTATCACTAATTCCTTAAGGATCCCAGTCAGCCATGGGGGTCCGAAAGAATCGCACTTCCTGGGCCTTAGATTATTAACTGAGGCCCTGAACTTCATTCTGTCCTTGACTCTTGTTAAGATGTTTTCCAGTTGTTATGTCAACATCTTAGAATGTTTCCTGAGAGAATTTAGGATGACACTCTATGGGCTGATTCCCATTGGGAATTAATCAGAAAGTAATTGCGTCTGTTTCATCCATCAGTTCACTGGGTGACTTTGAGCCAGTTATTAATAGCATCCTCGCCTACCTTATGAGATTGTTGTAAGCAGCACAGAATTGATCGGCATAACCAGAGCAGAGTAGAAATGGAACAGATTTGTCTGCTCAAGAAACAAAGATGGCTCTTGTCCAGTTAAGACTTGCAAGCTTCCCTGATACCCTCTGTGTGCCCACATTACAACCTCCACTTTGAGTCACAGTTGTCCTTGACTTTACAATGCACATACGTGTAGAAGGAGCCAAGTCGAGAGACCAAAATGAGTGAGCAGAAGAGCTATTGTAATCATATTTACTGTTCAGGTCGAGGTTTCTGATTGATATCTGGAAGGATGTGCACCTCATGGAATCCAAGTCGGAACTTGCTTAACAGGGAAATTATCCTGTAAAAGGGGAGAAAAGGATTTCCTTCGTTTCATAATACAATTTGCTATCTGAATGTCCACTATCCGTGCCCTAAACCTTCTCTGAAATCTGAGGGAGATGAAAAATCTTTCCTTGTGGGACACCCATGCTTAGACCCAGATCTTGCAGAGAACTCCCTCCCTAAACACTTTGCCCTAAACCTTCTCTGAAATCTGAGGGAGGTGAAAAATCTTTCCTTGTGGGACACACATGCTTAGACCCAGATCTTGTAGAGAACTCCCTCCCTGAACACTTGCAAAATTATATTTTAATCTATATACTGCTATAAACTGTAATATTTGACTGAGAAGTAGGACAACCAATAAACCAATATGCAAGTCCTTATGCAAGTCTACCGAAAGACTAGCATTTCTCAAACTGGGGTCTTGTTAAATTAATAACATCTTTTTAAAAAGAGAAAAGAAAACCTTCAAAACAAATAAAAGCCCTAAAATAGAATGTAGTGGAAACAATTATGGTTGGATGGCTGCATTTTGAATTTTTGCAAGCAAATCCAAACTGAGTTGAGCTATTTTTTCCAAAAATTGTTTCAGCAACAAGCTTGCGCCCATGATATATTGATATTTTCTTTTATGTAGATGGAACGAGATGTTTAAAATACTTTAGATGGCATGAGTTTAGATGGCATGAGTTTCTGCTGGCTCAAACCCATATTGGATCTTGAACTGCTGAACTGAGCCATATCAGGCAGTGATTCAGCCAGTGTACCACTGGTCACCTCTGGCAGACAGAAGAAAATGCAGGGGGCGTGGCACAAACAATCAAAGAAGCCTCATTACACCAATAAGCCAGAAAAGATCAGGTGATACTCCTTGACCACTGTAAAAGTTTTTGGACTGAGCTTGTTTGCTGGCATGAAAACTAGAAGGCCTGCTCTTGCAGAACAGAGATTCGCTTCATCTTACTCCTCCTTCAGTTTGCCATGAGCCTGGTCTCCTAGGTTCTCAGCAAACTTCCATGTGCTTACTCAGGTATCTTGCACGTAGGGACCTTGCATATTTTGGATCTTACCGAAAACTGTCTGAAAATCTATGGAAAGATTCCTCCCAAACACACAACAGAACAGAAGTGACTTTGAATTATCCCAGAATTCCAGCTGTATTACTTGGAAGAGCTAGTAAAAAACTTACGCTTTCCTCTCATCATCCATCCTGTTGATCTGTCCACCAACAAACACCCGGATCTTGCATTTCCCCCACCTCTTCTTGCGGCCAAGCAGGTACGGGATCAAGAGAGTCAGACCTGCAGGACAGAAGAGCATGGGGTGATTTTTTAATTTAAAAAGCCAATTGAGTAACAATGAAAAGTTCTGAAAGGGAGTTCTGTAAGACTCTTCCCTAGAAACAGGCAAGGGTGGTATTTCAAATGGTTAAAGGTAGCATTCCTGATTGCTGATGCTGTGGACCACTTGATAGAAACATCAGGATGAAGCAATAAAGCATGCAGATACCCTGACCAATACCTCTGTGAGTCAGCAATAAACTCTTATCTATATATATGGTAAATATTGGGTATGCATGCGCTTGGAATGCTTGAATGCCATCCTAGAGGTGAAAAAGGTTCCAGGTTTTTAGCAGGAACCAAAATTACCTCCGTCGTCAAATAGCCAGTAGATGTCGATGGTTTTCTTGCCCTGCTCCACCTGGAAAATCGTGCTTGCCTGCTGTTCTGCTACCAGAGCATCAGGATCCACTAGAAAGGTGAAAAAGTTGCATGATATAGAGATGGTGTGCAGTAATTCAGATACAACCTACACGCTGCTCAGACAATTAAATGAGCCTACTGGTCATGCAGAGATGCTCTGTCTGTCACTCTGTACATTTCAGAATACTGACACAGTTAAACTGGTATATGATAAAGCCATTTATAGTATAGTTGTGCCCTTAGATCGAAGTTGGAAGTTTTACCAATAAGAGAATGAGCCAAATCTCTGAACCTGCACCTCTTAATTTCAAAGAAAGCCTTAGTCTCCAAGACCTTTCAACTTGAGACAAAATATTGCAAGACTGAGAGGTCAAATGACATATGAACACAATAAATCTACAGGAGGTTTATTATGTAAGGGGGGGGGAACAGCTGTCAGGAGCCCTGCTTCAGACTGGATTGTGGGAAATTAACCCCCTTTCCCCATGCCATTTTCTCAGTTTAAATCCCCACCACCACAGAGAACTACTATGTGTCCCATAGTGAGGGGTATACGAAAATATAAAGCTGTCATTCCAAGTTGGGTTCACCTGTATGTGAAGCTGCCATACTGAATCTGACCACTGGTCCATTAAGGTCAGTATTGTCTCCTCAGAACACTGAGCCTCTTCCAGTAGCTCAGTGTTTGTCTATTGTGTGTCTTGCTTGAGGAGGAGGTTCAGGAATCAAGTCAGGAGCTGGCACCAACAATATATCACAGACATTGTCCCAGTGAAGACTGTGGGTGAAGTGAGGCCTTAAATACTACTTCGGGGAGATGGAGATATAGGCCTCTCTCCCCTCCAGGAGTAGGTTGTCAGTGCTGTTAAAGGTGCTGTGCCTGATTACAGTGGCCACCGTTCTGATGGGTTGAGGTGGTTCTGGGTTTGGAGAGGCAGTTGAGGAGACACCTCTGTTTAAGCATAAGGCTCTGGGGTACAGGGTTCAGGTTCCAAGTCTAAGCCTAAGCCTGCAGATAGGCCTGTTTTCCAGGGTGAACAGGCTGACTCAGAATTCGAGGGCCCTTCCTGCACATTAAGGGAAGAATCCCAACCACCTCCTTCTGTGATGGTAGTAGGTGATCAGCTCTTTCCTTTTCTGAGTCTTCGGCCTCTTCATTGAAGAGGAGGAGGCTGTGTGCCGGTTCATGACATTTGGACTGCTACTAGCAGGCATGGACCAGCCCTTTAATTTACAGGGACAACAACGAAAGTCCACTGGCCCCTGCAGAGTTCCCAAATGGCAGAGGCTACTCTAGTTTGATCCAGCCCCTGGCAATGATGACAACAGGATAATTTATCTCTGCTTCCTCCAGCGCCATTTCAACATCCCCATCTGGCCCTGTTCAGTGAGCTTTCTGGGGCCTTAAGCAGAGAAGACTCTTCCCCAGTGTCTGCCTCCTGAGATCCTTTAACAGAAGGCATGAATGGATTGAACTTGGAATCTTGTGCATGCAAAGCACATACTCTGTTGTTGAGCTATGGACCTTCCCCCTACCTGTACACTTCCTGCTGCAGAGCAAATAGTACACTTCCTGCTGCAGCACTTCCTGCTGCAGAGCAAATAGTAGTGTGTCTGTGTGTGATGAGGGCACACAATTTAAATCAACATAGCAGTACAGGGGAAAGGTTAACGCTGCCTATGACTGCAAACCTGATTTCACTACCCTGTGCCTTCCCCCTTGCCACTTGCATCTTTAAAGATCAAACGTAGGAGATGCTGATCACAGATCCCTCATGTGTCCCTCAGTCAGCTGTTCCATGGGGGAGGCTCTGCTAATTGCACAGTTAATTGGAAGATGAACATTTATGCTCCACAAAGAGGAACCTGCTCAGAACTGACATGTGCTTATTGCTGCAGGGGCATCACTGTTCTTCCGGGAATCTTCTACTGGGTCAAAAACTGGGTTAACTGGAAAAGAGGAGAGGATAAGGGTATGTGAAAGAGAGATATGACACTTTGCAATTAATAAGCAAACTGAATCCCCCCCACACACACACACACAAGGGAGTTATTTATACTCTAGCTATTGGGGGGAGCGGTGACAGCTTATTGAATTTCTGTTTTTGATTGTGCCTCGATGCTAAGGAATATTAAGTACAAGGGTTGTATGCACCCATGTTATATCAAGTCAGACCAGTGGTCCATCTATCCTAGTACCCACTGGTTGGTAATCACCCTCAGGCAGAGATCTTTCCCAGTTCAGCCCCCTTTCTAGCTGTCACTTACACCACCGAGCTTATCAGATACAGAATCAGCTTCTGGAAATTCTTCTGATTGGCCTCTGGCAGTCCTTGCCAGGAATGGGTACAAACCGTATGCATATTTGCAATGGAAACGGCCTCTTTTTATTGTTCTGTGGGTCATTTGTTTCCCCGAGGCTTTGTTTCTTCTTTGAGAAACAGTGGCTGCTCATGAAAATGGACCATTTGTTTAATCTGAATCCAATCAGAACCCTTCCCCAGGAGAAATGGATCTCAAGAAGTACTTACTATGAGCTTGCATCCATCTGGAAATATTTAGCCCTTCTTTCATCCTCATCATGCACACACCATACTTGAAGTCAAAAGCATCACTGGAAGAAAGGGGGACATGAAAAAGTATAACCAGATAGATCCATGGCGTTGGAAAACAGTTCAGAAGGTCAACATTCTAGGCTAGACAGGAAGGAGAGTAATAAGTATTGTACGGCAGTGTGTGTAGTATAGCCAAGAGATCCTAAGATTGTCTGGCAGCCAGAAGTTCTACCTCTGTTAACACTATGCACCACTAGGTGGAGAGCTAGACTTGTTTTTAAGGCAAGAGATGTTTCAGAGGTGGTTTGCCATTGCCTGCCTTTGCATCACACTCCTGGTATTCCTTGGAGGTTGCCCATCGAAATACTGGCCAAGGCCAATCCTGCTTAGCTTCTGAGATCTGATGAGATCAGGCTAGCCTGGGAGACTAAAAATTGTGTTTGCCAAAGCCTGAACCCCTGTATCCACTTAACTACCAGCACTGATGGCTGCCTCGCTCAATTAGACCATGGCCCAATATTTTCTTCACAACAGATGCTGAAAATATTGTTTCCAGAAAAGAAATGTAGACAAACCATTCTGTGGATTACATTTAAATAAACATATACTGCAAAGCAGTGGTGTTTCCTGGAAAGAGAGGTGAACCTCAGAATCTTTGGTCTTCCAATCCCAGTCTTTGTCTCTTCCTATTCATTACCATTAGCTGAGACACCATGATGCCACAGAATGTTCACAAACATTCCAGTTGCTCCAAATGTTGAAAATTAGTGTTGTACTGATGTAAGGGAAGATGGACAATATGGCTGGGGAAAATTCTTGCCACCAGTAATCTAGGAACAGGTTACCCCAGTCTGCCATAAAACTCACTGGATGACCTTGGGCCAGTCAAACACTTTCAGCTTTGCCAACCTCATAAGGATGGTGTAAGGATAAAAGGAGGGAAGGAAGAATAATCTATGTTGCCCTAAGCTTCTTGGAGGAGCAATGTGATAAAAAAGCCACTATATAAACAGATGAGCGCGAAGAGAATGAGATGTAGAGGGACAAAGCAAGTTGAGGAGAAAACCTCGTCACTGGAAAAGCATATGAACTGGTATAGGGAGGTAGAAAGACAAAGGAGGATGGAGTGAGACAAGGAAAGGGTCCTTAATTGCAAGAAAATGAATGAATGAATGAAAACTTAAAAATTCACATGATGGCTTCACCATGTAACAAAAAAATTAATGATAGGCCTGCAGCAGGACAAGAAAGGAAAACATTAATTTAGCAAATGTATCACCAGAAAACTACAACAAAAAGCTAGTTGCATTATAGTACCCTGTTATAAGTTTCATGCTCGCAAAAGAGATTACCCCTGATAACCCACAATATCAAAAGATGATTTTTTTAGTTATATGCAAGTTTTTAAGGATAGTAACTCTATATAGAATGGCGACATGTTAATACTATACAATGTCTGTGTATATATATTTTTTAAAGTTACTGTTATTGAATTTTGAAGATATGCTGTGATGTTTAAAAAAATCATTAATTAAAAAAAGAAAGGAAAACATGATGCATGACATGTAACAGCAGAACCATCTTCTAGTTCTCGTCTATTCAAGACTGTATCACTTTGAACCATAGATGGGGAGTCACATGACTGAAGTAGGATTGCCACCCCTGGGTGGAGAAATACCTGGAGATTTTGGAGAGGGAGCCTGGGGAGGGCGGGGTTTGGGGAGGGGAGTGCCCTCAGTTGGGGCATCAGGCCATACAGCCCACCCTCCAATGCAGCCATCTTCTCCAGGGGAACTGATCCCTGTCATCTGGAGATCAATTGTAATAGCAGGAGATCTCCAGGCACTACCTGGAGGTTGCAAAACAAAGAGAAAGATCACGGGATGGAAGTTTGGAAAGAAGTAAACAACCATGATGTATTATGCCCAAAAAGTCTCCAAAGACCAGAAATTTATTTTTCCAATATTTCAGTTTACTGGAAGAAATTCAAATGCCATAAACACAACGGATCATGCATATTATCTCGTTTCGTGTGTAACTTTTTCAAGGTGAGTAGTGTTGAAATACTATATTTAATTACAAAAATATAGTGACATTCACATAGTGACATTCACTATGAGATACTACTAGAGAGTATGTCAAATGGATTAATACTGTAAGTATGTTATATATCAGTCAGTTGTTTGTACAGCCTTGTGCTTTTCTCTTGCTAATACTAATAATATAATTATATTTTTGTAATTAAATATAGGTATTTCAACGCTACTCACCTTGAAGAAGTTATATACGAAATGAGATAATATGCATGATCTGTTGTATTGATGGCGTTTCTTCCAGTAAACTGAAATATTGGAAAAAGAAATTTCTGGTCTTTGGAGACTTTTTTGGCATAATACATCACGGTTGTTTACTTCTTTCCAAACTACCTGGAGGTTGGCAACTCTAGACAGAAAACTCTTCTTTACAAAAGTTCCCTCTGCATAGATACCTAGCATGTCAGGGAGTGGCATTCTAATAGAACCTCCTTCCTGACATCCTAGTTTTCTAGGTCAGGGATTTTTAAAAAGTGTATATATGATCAACTTGGGGATATTCAAGCATATGAGCCTCGCTGAGAACTAGATTTAAGACAGTCAAACGGGCAGATTCACTTAAATGGATTTTACGGAAACATTGCTTTGCCAACTTACTGCAGAATCCCAATGTAGTCCTCCACTGTCTGGGGATGCGCCTCCTGCCAATTCTTCTTGTATCCAAGTACTAAGACATTGGGTCTCATTTTCCCAAGACCGGTGGCCTTTGTCAAAAAAAAAATAAATAGAAGAACTTCTTTCAAGCAAACACATTTTTTTACACACAATAACTGGACTATTTTTGTTAGTTCTGAGCAAGGGATGGTATAAAGCCACCATTAAAGGTAAAGGTAAAGGTTCCCTTGCTCGAAAGCCAGTCGAATCCGACTCTAGGGTTGCGGTGCTCATCTCCGTTTCACAGCCGAAGAGCCAGCGCTGTCCGAAGACATTTCCGTGGTCATGTGGCCGGCATGACTAAACACCAAGGTGCATGGAACGCGGTTACCTTCCCACCGAAGCGGTACCTATTTATCTACTTGCAATTTCTTGCTTTCGAACTGCTAGGTTGGCAGGAACTGGAACTAGAGATGGGAGCTCACTCCGTCATGTGGCACACTCGGGTCTTGAACTGCTGAACTACCGACCTTCCACAGCATGCAGTTCAGCGTCTTAACCACTTGAGCCACCATTAGTGTGGTGGATAAAGGGCTTCATATGAGCACTTGAAGCTTTTCTTTGAATACTGAATGCTACATCAGAACTGTATGATAAAGACCAAGGATCATACTGGCTTCATCTCAGCTTAACTGAATTAGATAGCTGGTATGGTGCAGGGGGTTTGGAGCATGAGCCCCTGAAATATTTTCTAGCAAGTGGGGGGGGGGGGGGGTCTTTCAGTCAGCTTCTGCCTGCCTTCATTCAGCTCTTTTGGCTTTCTACCGTACAATGCCTGGCCAGTATCATCAGGGAGACATAAAAAACACAAAAACACTGTACATTTGAAGCTAGCTAGAGAGTGAATTTTTGTCTCTGTCTTCTGACTTTCCCTTTCCCCTGTTGGCCTGCTTAGAATAAACCTTTCAAAACTGGAGGTGTACTCTGAGAGACTTTCTGTGTTCACCTCCCCTCAAAGTTCAGTTTGCTCTGCCAAGAATCCAGGTGTGAGGGAGGCCTTGTGCAATTAATTTGCTGGGCTTTCTTCTAGAGCAAGAAAGGTCCTTCTTCTATCCTGTGCATGCACACTCTCTCACACACATGTGTGCTCTGGAAGCAGAGACTAGAACTGGCCTGGTACAAGCTATTGATGTCATTTTTCCCCGGTGGCAGCAGTCTACCAAGATCAGTTGGATCTAAGAGTGCTGTGCTTCAGATATAAAGCCTTTTTAATCTCATGCACCCATAAGGAATGGAGTGTGCCTTTACAATTCTCATCCCCCATCTAGAATACTGGGATGATAAAAATGGCTTTCCAAAAACAGACATATTGTCAAGATTACCGAAGTATCACAGAGTACTTAAGGGCTAAGTGTACATGGATAGTACGGGGCTGCATCCTCACATGAGTGAGCTATTGCCCAATCCTTGCAGTCATTTGCAACTAGATTGCCTTGTCCATGTCCACACAGAAAAGTTCACTTGCAAATTACTGCAATTGTGCAATGATAGCGCAATATCCAACAGTATGTGAATGCAGACCAGAGCTAGTACTGAGAAGCCTTACCTCAGAGTTATAGCTACCCCCTTCACCAGCATCCAGAATGTAATCATTTCTGGTGAGAATGCTGAACATTTGCTAGATTCATTTCAGGACTTCTCAGACCAGCAGTTACAGATTTAAACCACCTGCACGTCCTTGGTATTACAGTGTCCCGTTTTGTTATTTTACCTGCATGAGTATCTGTGCGCCGGTTCTCAAGTCCTCAGCTAAGACATCAGTATAGAAAGCCTTGATCTTTCTCTTGGTGAGCCAATTGGTATGGCCCCTCGATGTGAGCCTGAGCTCAGACAACTTCTGTTTCCACGGCCCCTGTGACAAAACAGGAACAAGGTGCAAGAGCATGGCTTTGACATTTGCGCTTTTCTTGATTTACATCTCCCTCAAGTTACCCAGTGTGCACCAAAGTCTTGTTCCTGCCCACATATTGTGGAATTGTGAATGGGGGATCATACTCAGGATTCTGCACTTTGTGTGTCCACCACCCCCACCCCAAATTTCAGCTGCTTTTACAAAAGGACACAGGCTGTAGTTTGTGGCACTATTTTTTGGATGTCTTTCTTGTATTCAACGGCATTGTTTTCTAATTTCTGTAATCCAGTTTTTGTATTTCTTATGTCTTATACTGTTTTATTGCATTGTTTTCTAACTTTTTCATCCAGTCTTATTAAAATGTTTATTATATGTCTTATGCTGTTCCTGTTGCATGGCTAAATTTTGTAGTCTCCCTTGAGTCTCAGCAAGAAAGGCAAACTATAAATAAATTCTGAAATGAGAATGTAATGTGCACATTTGTGAATGTTTTTTTTTAATTGCATATCTTTATTCTGCTCTAAAATTTAGGATTTTGAAGAATGAGGAATGTTTGTGCATGGACTGAGAAAAGGAAAGAAGGGTATGGTGACAGGGGAAAGATTGCCTCTAGTAAACATGGGGAAATGGACAAGAAATGTGGGCCCAACCCCCTGGCTAAGAAATGTAATTTAAACCCCTCTGAGATTTCATTTGGCACCACCATGAATTTGCAGCCTTTTCTCTGCAGCTACAAAGCCTAGGAAACCATCCTACAATTCTGGACTTGAAAATATTGATGCAATCCACCCTTTCCAGATGAGAGCAACTCCAATGGCTAGCAGTGTAAGATCTACCTTTCTTTGAGTACGAGAACTCTGAAGACTTATTCTGTCTTTATTTTCCCCAGAAGATTTTTATGCTGCCTCTTCAGAGGAACTATCCAAGATGGCTTACGATATAAAACAATTAAAATTCAGATTGAAACAACCAACCCAAATAAACTAACCAAGCCAACTCAAAAAGTCTCAGATCCAGTGGCCATGAAACCATAGCATCTCAGCAATGGAAACAACAAGAAAAGCACACAACAGCAAGCCCAAACCAACATAAAACAAATGGAATACAAGCCATCCCTATCAGTTAATGTGCTAAAAAGTGGGATAAAACTCATTTAAAAGCCTGGGAATGTCTTGACCAAGTGCCTGAAGAGTAGATCATGCACCAGGAGAATCTCTAAGGGGAGGTCATTCCAAGGATGGGATGCCATCCGTGAGAAAGCCCCGTCTTTCCTTACTAGTCACCTCACTGCTGTGGGCAAACAGCGGAGGGCTCAAGATGATGATAATAGTTTTTGCCTTTGAAATATCTGCTTTATTTACAAATATACCAACAGAACACAATGGATACAAGTGTATAACCAGTTAGCACATCCATTAATTTCTCAATCTGATTGCAGCCAGCTCCAAATTTGCACTTGTTATATTTACTGCCACTGAAGTTAGCTGCCCATCATTCCTCTCCTCTCTGTTCCAACGTGCTTTTCTTTCTTCTCTTTGCCCTCTGTCAACCTGTGCAGAGCACTGATCTTAGATTCCATTCCTGCAGGTAAATTGCCCATTCAAGAAACTATCCGCAGGTATTCCAAAACATGCAATGCTCCTACATCAGGTCCCTGATCACTCATTTGCTCTGATCTAGTCTACCCAACTCACAACATCATGCTACCTGCTTGCTGGGGAAAGGAAAGCACTCGGAGACAATTTGGCAGCATCTCCCTATCAAGCTGATGTTCGATGGAATGGGTGGCCAGGGAGCACATCAAGAGCTACTAGGTCAGCCAGAGCAAAAGCAGAGGGATGCTTCCACGAGCTGTCTTCCTTTAACTGTGGCCAAATAACATGTTTTTAAAGCTTTGCTTTTAGCAAAGGTTTAAGAATACCTTCAGGATGAAAACCAATGCATCACATGTACCAAGGTTCTATTAGCTTGACTTGGGAAATTCCTGAAGGTTTGGAGGCAGTGCCTGGGGAGAGACTTCAGTTTTTCCTAGGTATGGCATAGAGTCCGCCCTCCAAATCTCCCATTTTCTCCAGGGGAACTGATCTGTGTAGTCTGGAGATCAGTTAGATCTGAGTCCAGTAGTACCTTAGAGACCAACAAGATTTTTGGGCTATAAAAATATGGGACGCTTCACAAATCCACAGGTCATCCTCATGCAGGAGATCAGTTGTAATTCTGGGAGCTCTCCAGGGCTAACCTGGAGGTTTGCAACCCTAGCTTGACTTTTCCCTTGTGTGAAGACTCTGAATACAGTAGGATGAACCATACTTTCTCTCTTTTTTTCCCAGAGTTGGCAAAGGTGTAACCCTAGTGCTTGGAATGATAACAGAGCCGAATATTAACATGACATTTCCATTTCCTGAACTAGTCTTACGGGCTTAGTAGAGGATAAGGTTCAACAAGACACAGCCTGAGACTCCATTTCAGTGTTACAGCTAAATGCTAGGAAACAAAAATTCAGCATGTGTGGAAGCACCCTCACCACACGCTAGAAGAGCTCCAAGCAGTCTACTCACATCTGCTATGAGACCTTCCACGTCTGAAGTGTGTCTCTGTACCACAATATTTCTTATCAGATAATTAAAATGCATTGATCATGCACAGCATTTCTAACTACCACTACGATGTTTTGAGAAGCTGTGTTACAGTGCAATCCCATGCAGAGTTTTTCCCAGTCTTAACCCACTGATTTCTTGAGAAAGGTGATTGAACAGATGGTGGCTATTCTGTTTGCCGTTCCCTCAGTGACTTCTTCACATCCATTGTTTTAATTGTTGTTTGTACATTTTTGTATGTGTATTTTAGCTCCAGTTTTAATAGTGCCTCATTTGTTGGTTTTAATGGTCTCTACAATGTGTTTTATTAAGTATGCTTTTAATTTGTTAGCCATGTTGGTGACTCTTATGAGGGATGAAAGGCAGGGTATACATTTTGTAAATGACTGCATAACTGTTTCTTTAAAGAAGGCGAAGGTTTCTTTAAAGAAGGCGAATGGCTTTGTAAATGACTGCATAACTGTTTCTTTAAAGAAGGCGAATGGCTTAAGATGGGAGGGTGTGTATGAGTGATGCTAAAAGGGCGAGTCTTCAAGGCCCATACCAGCACAAATTGTTTTTCTACTTACAGCTTGCAGGTGACAACACAACCACTCGCCTCTAGCCCAAATATATACTCTGTCTGGCAGCAGGATTGGCCTCAAGTGAAGCAGGTGTGCCTTCCTCTTTGCCCTTCAGAGTAAGGGCAAAACTAGACAATATCTAAGTCATGTGAATGGTCTCTCAGCATCTTTTTAATACAGGAAAACTCTGGGAAGCTCTTGTTTGACAAAGGGCAACGAAGAAGGACTCCTTAATCTCCTTGTCTCCTGCAGCATATGCAAATTCACTTAAAAATGAAGTCGCATTGGATGCTGGGTTTTTTAATAAAAACAAATCTTTTTGGAAGTGTTTATGTGTATATTGGGGTGAGTCTACCCAACTTGTCCTTTCCATCTCCTTCAGCTTCACTCCTCACTATAGCCTCTGCCTCACGTGCCTTTTGCCCATGCAAGTCCCCAGCATAGCCTTTTTGGATGGTCAAAAGGGAACCTTCCTCCCTTTTTTATCTACAGAAAAGCTGGTTGGATTCATCCCATTGTCCAGCTTGCTCCTGAATGAGTATTCAGTATCCCGAGCTAGCATTTGCTGTAATGATAGATGGGCAATAAATACTCACAATTAACACATTCCCACAGATCATCAGGCTCAGGTTTTTGGTGAAGGTGCCCACAAAATCCACGAGTGCTGGCCGGAAACTGGGAGGGCCAGTGAGGACCAAGCATTGAGGCCTGGCAAAGAAACAATCAGCAGCTTCAAATGCTTCATTTGCAATAGAGCCAGCCCTACCATGAGGCAAGGTGAGGCAGCCACCCCAGGTGACACATTCAGGGCAGCAGTTTCTTTGATTTGCAAGGTCTTGTGGCAGCACAGGAACGGCTGGGCCCCCTTGCCAGAGTCCCTGGTCTAGAGACCTTTGGAGCCTTAGACTTACCTACCTGTAATTTTTAATGTGCTCATCAACCTCGTTGAGTCCTACAGAATAGTTAAGGGCCATGTTGTAGGAACCTGCCTGGACTGAGGAGCCCCAGTTTACCTCTGCAGAAAGATAGACCAATGGGATCCTTTCAATTATTTTGTCTTCACAAGTAGCTGAAGTAGCACTAACCATGAATGTGAATCAATTGGGTATGATACGATGCTTTGGGCTGATGGACTTCACACATTTCGTATATATTGGGGTCATGTTGCTTGCAGCAGCCTTGTATATAACACACTTGCACAGGTTTTCTGCAATGCCCTTTCCACAGTCATTGGGCACTTTCACCCATGCTAAATAATGCAGTTTCAATCCACTTCAGTGACCGTTTGCAAGTGGATTTTGCCATTCCACACAGTAAAATCCAGTTGCAAGGTGCATTGAAAGTGGATTGAAAGTGTGTTATTTAGTGTGTGAAAGCACCCAGCTAACAGCACAAGCTAGGAGTATAATTGAGAATGCATTGAAACTGGATTAGGCACATAAGTCTTGAATGTGAATCTAACTGAGCCTTTTGCCTGACAAGCTATTTACAGATATTGTGGGCCAGACACCTAAGGCCTGTATGGATACCCTTTCCACTTTCCAGACCTGGAGACCCCTTACTGCACTGGGCAGAAATTAAAAATCTTTCCATTGGATCTTCCCAATCAGAGCTGCCCAGAATATTATTGTTGGTTGCGGCACACAGTCCTCCCTTGAAAAATGCACAAGGGTTTTAGCTCCGGTGTAACATTTTCTCCCGTGACTACATTTCCATGGGAATCATTCCAAATTCACACAAAACATTATGTTAGAGAAATCCAAAATTTATTAGTGGAAGATTACCCATGGGCACATGAAGCTTCTATATAATGAATCAGACCACAGGTCCACCAGATTCAGGACTGTTTACTTTGGAGCTCTCCAGGGTCTGAAATAGAGACCTTTCATATCACCTTCTATCTGATCCTCCCAACTGGAGATACCAGTGATATGAAATAGAGACCTTTCATATCACCTTCTATCTGATCCTCCCAGGGATTGAACCTGGGACCTCTTGCATGCAAAACAGATGCTCTACTCCTGAGCCACAGCCAGCCCCTTCCCCTGAATTTTATGGATGAAGTTGCTGCAAGAGCAGTTCCCAAACAATGGGATCACAACCAATCAATGGAACCATCTCTTTGCTCAGAACATTTATTTCAGTTTCACCCTTTCTCCCTAAAATCAGTCCCTTAATTATTTGTGCCATGTTGGAATAGTGTTAACTCCACCATCAGCTCTTGTGACCATGAAAGGATCCCATCACTCTTGGGCACTATTTGCCATCTCCTGAACCAAATGCCTGATCTGCTGATAACAGTTACGTACCAGGCTTCTTGTAGAGAACATATCCCAGCAAGAAAACCACAATTCCAATGGCAATGAGGGCTGCCCACCAGGTCAGCAAAAACATAATGACTACAGACACAACGGCACCAAACAGAGCTGCCCACTTGCTGTAATACCGAAATGATGGCCTCCAACCTGTATGGGCAAAGCACAAGAGATTAATAATAATAACAATAAGATGAAGATTATGAACATCACAAAGACAAAGCATTTTATAGCATTACAGAATTCTCAAAGCATTTGAAATGCATTATCTTTTAAAACGTTGTTGTACGGTAAGCTCATGTATGTTGCTTGTGCATCCCTGGATCCAAACCATGGCCCACAAGCCACATTAGTTAGGTACTCTCTGGTTTTGTGAAACTCAGATCCTTGAAACTGCCTTGTGTCTAATCTGGCAGGTTAAACTCAGTTGCTAAGCACAGCTATGCAAGTTCTTACCTGGTGAGTTCGTAATGGAGGCATGGAAGCAGCTGAAGTTGATGAGAGCATAGGAACACAAGAAGAAATTGGAGATGATGGGGGCAATAGCATTCAGTTCCGCTGCAGGGATTAGGAAGAGAAAAATGTCTGGTTGATTTTCTTAAATTATTCAAAGCACAGAATAAAAATGAATTTGGGGGTCACAGAACTGGGGATAAAATCCTACATAATTCAGTGTTCACAAATGAATTCTATCCAGTGGTCTTCTATCCCTAAGAACTTACCAATGAGAATAAACCCAATTGCAATAATGTAGGTCAGCATGTAGCCCCTGATAGGCTCATTGTTTTTTCCATATCCCTTCCCAAAAAAGCCAATGATAGGATAGAGTTGATCCTTGCACAGGCACTGTTGGAGAGAAGATCACTTTGTCACTAGTTATGTCATTGGCTAGTAATCTAGCTAGGAGACAAATCTGAGAGAGCAAAAGAATTGTGAATGTCACAGTCTCACCTGGAAGACTTTGGGTGCTGAAACAAGGCAGGCCAAAGCAGAAGAGAGGGTGGCCCCAAAGATTCCAGCTGTGATCAAGGGTGCAAAGCCAGACACCATGCTCATGGTCTATGGGGGGAAAGCAACCAACAACAGGTCACATCTGAAGATGCACAGCGTGCATAGAGATGCATGAGGACACATGCACCACATGCATTCCTGTCAATGGAGGCCAGGACACCTAGTCTTATGAGAAAGGGGAAAGCTTTGATTCCATCACAATAGCATCCTTCATGGCAGGTCTATACTGTTCCTCATATGCTTATAGGGGAATATTCACCCATGACTATTGGGCTGTAGCTCAGTGGAATGGCACATGCAGAAAGTGCCAGGCTCAATCCCTGGCATCTCCAGTTAAAAGGATCTCTGGAATCAGGACTGCAAAAAGATCTTGGTCTATGACCTCGGAAAGCTGCTGCTTGTCTGACTTGACAACAATAGATCATTAGTCTGATACAGTTTAAGTTGACTTCCTGTGTACGTATCAGAGAAAGAATTAACCAGATACTCAGTTTGGTAGAGAGACTATACTAATGCCTCCTCCTTTGACATTACAGGGGACTGGTTTTGCCCTTCCCATTCCTTTCTGATGACTATCATCCTCTGAGACAATAGAGGAGCTATTAGTTAGGTACTCTAACACAGGGCATCCATGGATCCAAAATGTGTGCTTAACCCATTCCTTTCTGATGACTATCATCCTCTAAGACAATATCCCTTTTCATGAGGGATTCCAATGCAAATCTGGTCAGTTCAGAGATCTTTGGTTACAGTCATTATAATTAGAAAGGGCACTAACTTTGTCCCTCCACCCCCCAAGTCCAGAACTTTCAATAGACAACAGTAAATATGATACTGTTCTGCCCCAACCTCATCAGGCTGATACCTGGTAATAGTTCATGAGCCCATAGTGACAGCTGTGGCTTCGGGCGCACTCTGTGAAGTTCCATCCATAATCACAAGCAATTCCTTCACAGCCCAGAGATCCAACGAGAAAGGTATCATTCACATTTCCAGATGCATCCCGGACCACACAAGCACCTAGAAAGAAAACAGTTTAAGACTATTTCCTCCTTCTTTCTTCCTCATTCTACACTGTGTTTTCCAATGAAGCAATTTGGAATTCCAAAAACAAAGTGTAACATCTTTCCTTGGGACAAACAAAAATATCTCAGCAGCACATTCTGCGAACTTTTGAGTTCTCTAGAACTCTTCATCAATCTGGAAGATGTTGTCCTTGGGCATGGTGACAAAGCCCCCAGTTTGGAGTTACGGTCTTAAAATTAAATACAGGATATGCTGCAGGTGAAATGGGATTAAATACTGTTGGGTGCAAAGTGGGTTTTCAAGCTGGGGCAAAAATGGTATACTACCTTTGTGAATCCAAGTGGTAATGGTTAGTCTAGTGTCTTATTGGCATCCAAATAAAGGTGGTCTTTTCATTAACAAAAGTTGGAGATTAATCTAAGGTGTTATCTCTAGTCAAATAGAGCAATATTGACCAATGGATGCAGGGCAAGCAGCACCTGTAAGCTAAGTCCCATCTTTGTGTCTATCTCCTTCCCACTGAAACAGCCTTCTCTTTTGGTTTTCCAGAAATGGCAAGTATCTGTGTTTTTTCACGCACACAATCCTAAAACAAAAATTGTATGCAATGCCATTTATTAGGACCAAGCCAAATCTCACAAAATAGAACAGTAAAAAACTGTTTAAAAACTTGCACCACCATTTTGTGATATTTTGGTTGATTCTAATAAAAGGTACAACATGCAGTTTTGGTATTTGAAATGTGTCTGCGAAGAAATATGGCTGCTTTCTATCATTTTAAGTTCATGGCTATGCTTAGAATACATTAACTCCCGCTGAACTAATGTATGTGGAATGGAAGTAGGGTTCTGCCTGCTAGCCCTGTCCCCCACATGCCATGAGTTCATCTGAAGGCTGGAACAGAGCCTAAGTATGTATGTACAACTTTTATATGTACATAGGTGAAGTACAGGCAGCCAGAAACTCTCAAATGCAAGGTTTAAAACAGCATGTTGGTCAGTATGATGCTGTGGTTAAGGTGTTGTACATAAACCAAGGAGACCAGGGTGCAAACGCCCACTCAGGCACAAAACATGAGGGCTTAAAAAATGTTATAAAGGTAAAGGTTCCCTTGCTCGAAAGCCAGTCGAGTCCGACTCTAGGGTTGCGGTGCTCATCTCCGTTTCAAAGCTGAAGAGCCAGCGCTGTCTGAAGACGTTTCCGTGGTCATGTGGCCGGCATGACTAAACACCAAGGCGTATGGAACGCTGTTACCTTCCCACCGAAGTGGTACCTATTTATCTACTTGCAATTTCTTGCTTTCGAACTGCTAGGTTGGCAGGAGCTGGAACTAGAGATGGGAGCTCACTCCATCATGCGGCACCTGGGTCTCGAACTGCTGAACTACTGACCTTCCACAGCCTGCAGTTCAGTATCTTAACCACTTGAGCCACCGCAGCTCCTAAAAACATATTATAAACATCCTCAAATAATCATAAAGGTTCAGCACCAAAGACAGCGCCCTAACAGAACTCATTGTGAAATCTCTCCCTACCAGGTACAGCAGCTCAAGGATGGGTTTTATACAGCAAGAAAACAGCAAAGTAGAGTAAAGGTTAAAGCCCTCCTTCCCACATCATTCTTCTCCTTAAAAGAAAGGGGGGAGAGGGGGAGAGAGAGAGAGAGAGAGAGAGAGGAAATTTCAGTACAAAAATTCAAATGCAATGCTTAGTTTGATCTTCAATACCACACTATCCGACTGGGAAAGGGCCCATATTTCTTCACATGTGTGTCCACACATTCATGTTTAAAGTGGGAGTTGGAGGTCTATTTTTTTAAAGCAATGTACCAGGGAGGGAAAAATAAGAAGTCTCCTCTGTAACCTACCCCATCCCAGTTGTTAGCCTCTGTAGCAATCTTTTAAAAGAAGCTGTTTGCTCTAGTGAAGCTATTCTCAGGCTGCGGTCACGCACACTAAATAATCCACTTTCAATCCCCTTTCCATCTGGATTCTGCCAGTTCACACAGTAAAAATACAGCCTGAAAGTGGATTGAAAGTGGATTATTTAGCGTGTGTGACCACACCCTCCATTTGGCTATTACTAGACCCTACAAAAATGGCTTCTGTGAAAACATGGAGTGACCTGCAAACTAGAAGGTCACTGGTTCAAATCACACAAAGCTGCCTTATATTGAATCAGACCACTGGTCTATCAATGTCAGTACTGTCTACTTAGACTGGCAGTGGCCCTCTGGAGCACAAGTCCCCAACATGGTGCTGTGGGCACCATGGCACCTGCTGACACCTTCCCTGATGCTCACCAAGTGTTTTTAGAAAGTGGGCGGGGCACTTGCCCAGCAGGGTTTCTGACTGGCCACTTAAGTCCTGATTGGCTGGGCAGATTAAAATAACATTGTTTCAGCAGCAGCTGCCACCGTATTGTTGGTTTTGTTCTCTATCACTACTCTTTCTCAGTGTGTTTCTTAAAATTATCACTCTTAGACTGTGTGTATGGCGCCACCTCCCGTGGCAGCCATTTCGTGGTTGCACCCACCCCTGTGTCAGAATTCCAATGGTCCCCACCGGCTCAAGAAGGATGGGGGTACCTGTTCTAGAGCCTCAGGTTGAGATCTTCCACATCACCTTCTAGCAGCTGATTCTTTTCACTAGAGTTGCCAGACATTGAACCTAGGACCTTCTGCATGCCAAGTAGATGCTCTGCTATTGAGCCCACCTCAGTGTGCAATATACTGGTCTACCTTACAGGGCTATTGTCACAATGATAATGCATGCAAAGCTCTTTGAATGCTAAAAATGCCATACAAATGCAAAGTAGTACTATGATTGTGACTATTAGGGGGATGGGTTGTGGAAACTTCCTCTTTCTTTCCACTTCTGGACAGAGTACAACTTGAGTGAAGGTAAATAAGCCTCTCTTCCCAGGAGTGCTTGTAAGAAGCGGGAGATTCAGGGAGAAAGGTTGGGAGAGAGAAAAGAAGGGGTTGACAGAAAGAGCATGCATCACTGGAAAGGAAGGGGAGAGGCAGCAAAGAAGAATTTTTTGTCTACAGTCTGTTGTTTATATAGCCTGGAGAAAGGGCATTTTATCAATCAAAACATTGGCTTCAAGGTTCTAAGAACGCAAATTAAATCAAGAGTGCATCTGTTGCTTACCAATTGTAGCAGAAATAACCAGATACGATATCGTTGTCCAGAAAATCGCCATGAGGGTACCTTTAGGAATAGCTATAGCAGGATCCTGCCCAAGGGAACAAGTGATATTTAGAAAGATAGATTCCTCAGGCATCACAGTATATAGGTCACACTGGCTAAGCAGCTCACTTGAAAGATTGTGACTATTAGGGGGATGGGTTGTGGAAACTTCCTCTTTCTTTCCACTTCTGGACAGAGTACAACTTGAGTGAAGGTAAATAAGCCTCTCTTCCCAGGAGTGCTTGTAAGAAGCGGGAGATTCAGGGAGAAAGGTTGGGAGAGAGAAAAGAAGGGGTTGACAGAAAGAGCATGCATCACTGGAAAGGAAGGGGAGAGGCAGCAAAGAAGAATTTTTTGTCTACAGTCTGTTGTTTATATAGCCTGGAGAAAGGGCATTTTATCAATCAAAACATTGGCTTCAAGGTTCTAAGAACGCAAATTAAATCAAGAGTGCATCTGTTGCTTACCAATTGTAGCAGAAATAACCAGATATGATATTGTTGTCCAGAAAATAGCCATGAGGGTACCTTTAGGAATAGCTATAGCAGGATCCTGCCCAAGGGAACAAATGATATTTAGAAAGATTGATTCCTCAGGCATCACAGTATATAGGCCACACTGGCTAAGCAGCTCACTTGAAGTGAGGAGGAATCAAACTCATTTAGGTATTCCCTGATGCGAAAGTCCCCAGATTCAGTACACACAAAGTCTAAGGCACTTAAGTACCAGAAAATCTGAAAATGGAATAGATTCCCTCAAATTAGGGGACTCAGAATCAGTGTTCCCTCTAAGCTGAGTTAGTGTGAGCTTTTTTTCAGCCTCCAGCTCACACGTTTTTGTCTCAGCTCAGGAAGGATGGCTCCAAGGCAGACTAATTTATGCAGTAGCCAAATCACTCACTCATGACTTTAATTTCAGTAGCTCACAAAGTAGAATTTTTGCTCACAAGACTCCACAGCTTAGAGAACCATTGCTCAAAATGTACCCACAAATGGTTCAGGTATTTCCAGGCCACCTAGAAAGCCAAGCCAACAAGCCACAGCCAATTCCCTCCATGCCCTTTGGGTACCAGGCTATCTGCTTCTGTGCTACTTTCCCCTGCCAGTGTTTGCTAGCCCCACAAAGTCAGACAAGATGTACAGGCCTTGGGCCCCTATGGGTTAGAGGAATGTGGCTTCTTTCTGGGGGTTTTAGACCAAATAAAGCATGATTTGCATACGCATCTCAGACCTCCAGCCTGAAATCAAAGAATTCCCTCTTGGGCCAATTTTCTTGCCCAGAGCATGCACAGCCAGGAGAAGTGACTTTAAAAACTGGGGGGAGGGGGTCACACACACAGACAGACACAAATAGAACGTTATTGCACACATACAAGAATTAGTTGATGGATTAGGACTTGGGAGACTCGGGTTCAAATCCCCACACTGCTACTAGGTGACTTTGGACCAGTTATCCTCCCTAAGTGTAATCTACCTCACAGGTTTTTTTTGACAGGAAATGGAGGATGTATGCTGCCTTGAGCTCCTTGAAGGAAGGGTAGGATTTTAAAAAGCTAACAATAAATAAGTGGTGCAGAAGACAACCAGTTTTGCACTCCACAAAGCTCTAGATTCTTAGGAATTTATTCCACATTGAATAAATTCATTTTTTTAGCATATCTACTTCTGAACATGGCCAAATCTGTGGATACTTAAATCTGGAGATCAGAGCCATGAACAGACAAGGTTGATAGTTCTACAAACCTGGAAAATGTCCCAGTTTTGCAGAAAAATCTGAAATCTAAAAAAATAAAAAAAGATTTTTGTAATGTGGAAGTTAAAACTCTACAAAATAACAGAAGGAGCACCTATAGTTTTAAGAAACAAATGCCCTCAGTGATCATTGCTAGGCAAAAACAACAGTCTTGCCAGCCTTCAAACACTGGTTTTTATCAATAAAGGGGGGGGGTGAGGGCAGGGACCTTTTGCGGGCTGTTTTGGCCTTTGAATACACATGAACACATGAAGCTGCCTTATACTGAATCGGACCCTTGTTCCTTCAAAGTCAGTATTGTCTACTCAGACTGGCAGAGGCTCTCCAGTGTCTTTCACATTGCCTACTGTAGTGTATCCAGCCCTGACAAGGCCAGGCATGTCCGGACTTGCCCAGGGACAAAACCTCAAGCTTCGTATCTAAAGACAATGGGCCAGAAGGATCCTAGCCGGCCCTATCAGATGGCTAGGTCCCAAACCGTGAGGCCAATAGGTCTCTCGGTTACTGTAAATAGCCTATCGGGAATGGTGGTGGGTTTCCCTGAGGGAATATAAGCCGGCCTGCGAGCCGGCCAAGGTGTCTTGTTCCTGAGTAAATAAAGGTATGCTTAGCTGAAATCACTCTCCGTGTGCACACTTTTCACCTACTGTCAGATCTTTTAACTGGAGATACCGGGGATTGAACCTGGGTCCTTATACGTGCAAAGCAGATGCTCTGCTGCTGAGCCACAGCCCCTCCCTTGAGGGAGGACTCAAGCCCGGCTTGCTACCACCTGACTTACATGACTCACCCAGACCGGGCTGCCTGCTACTGTTCAACAGCAGCCATCCCATGAAAGCCAGCGCGGGGTAGTGGTTAGAGTTCAGACTAGGATCTGGGAGATCCAGTCTGCCATGGAAACTCACTGTGTGACCTTGGGCCAGTTACATGTCCTCTCAGCCTAACATACATCACTAGGTTTCTGTAAGAATAAAATGGAGATGAGGGGAATGATGTAAGCTGCTCTGGATCCCCATGGTGGAGAAAGGTGGGGCATAAATTAAGTAAATAGTACATAATAAATATAGCTGAAGATAAGGGAGTATGTCGATTGGTGGGTGGGAAGGAGAGAAGGCAGGAAGGAGGGAAAGGTGAAGATATGGGGGTTGCCAGGAGGTGGGGGGAAATAAATATTGTGGGTGAAATGTACGCAGTGATTTCAGCATTTCAGCAAAGTGTACTTTATTTGATCAGGAACAAGATGACTTTGGCCGGCTCGCAGGCCGGCTTATATTCCCCGAGAAACCGCCACCCAAAACACCCCCCCACTTCCCAATAGGTTATTTACAGTGGCCGAGAGTCCCATAGGCTCTCAGGCGGGAACCTAGCCCCCTGATTGGAGCGGGCTAGGATCCGCATCTTCCATTGTCTCTCTGAGCGAAGCTCGACGTTTGTGCCTGACCATGTGGAGCCCAAGCCGGCCAGGCGGTCTGGACTGGATACATTACACCCCTCCCCCCTTGGTCCGCAATGCACCCACAGACAAAGTCCTTCAGGTGGGTAGGTAACTTCCTGGTGTGGGTAGAGCAGCGAAGTTCGGGAACTGCTGCGGCCTCCACCCCTGAAGCCTTTGGTGGCGAGCTGGCTGGAAGAGGCGCTGGGGGCGGTGGTGCCGGTGTCCCCGGCGTCTCTGGAAGAGGTGACTCAGGTTCGACCAAGGGAAGAGCCCGGGGCTCGGCCGCTGGTGGTTGGGTCCGGGGTGAGGTCTCCGGGGCCTCGGCCATGTCCCAGTTCTCGGGGTCCAATGGCAGCGTCTGGCGGCATAGCTGGTCAATGTGCCGGTGTAGAATCTGCCCGTCTTCACACGAGACCTCATACGATCTTAGGCCCTTAACTCATATGACTCATGCTGGGATCCAGGCTGGTCCCTGGGTGTAGTTCCATGCGTACATGGGATCCTCCGGGAAGAAACCCCTGGCTGCCTCGTGAGTCTCCGTGCCTGGTGCCTCTGCCGAGGCCCGGTCGGGGTGCAGGCGATCCAACCGGGTTGCCAGGCGGTGACCTAGAAGTAGCTCTGCTGGACTGCGCCCTGTAGTGGTGTGGGGCGTCGTTCGCTGGCCGAAAAGGAAAGCCGCCAGTTTATAGTCCCGGTCCGGGGAGTCCAAGTGGCGGAGAGCGTCCTTCGTGGTTCTGACCATGCATTCGGCCTGGCTGTTGGTGGCGGGGTGGAACGGGGCCACCCGGACGTGGTGGATACCTTAGTGACTCGTGAATTCCTGGAACTCCACGGACGTGAACGCCGTCCCATTGTCTGGGACCAGCGTGTCTGGGATTCCTTGGGCACTGAAGATCCACCACATCACCCAGATGGCTGCCTTCGAGGAGGTGGAGGGCATGGGGACTACCTCCAGCCACTTGGGGTGGAACGGGGCCACCCGGACGTGGTGGATACCATAGTAACTCGTGAATTCCAGGAACTCCACGGATGTGAATGCCGTTCCATTGTCTGTGACCAGCGTGTCTGGGAGTCCTGGAAGATCCGCCACATCACCCAGATGGCCGCCTTCGAGGAGGTGGAGGGCATGGGGACTACCTCCAGCCACTTGCTGAAGGAATCCACCAGGATAAGGAAAAGTTGCCCCTGGAATGGTCCCGCAAAATCCAAGTGTAACCGGGACCAGGGGTGGTGGGAAGATTCCCAGGCCCGTTCCGGGGCTCGGGGAGGCTCGGGCCGGGACGCTTGGCAGCCACTTGCTGAAGGAATCCACCAGGATAAAGAAAAGTTGCCCCTGGAATGGTCCCGCAAAGTCCAAGTGTAACCAGGACCAGGGGTGGTGGGAAGATTCCCAGGCCCGTTCTGGGGCTCGGGGAGGCTCGAGCAGGGACGCTTGGCAAGGTTGGCACTGCTTCACCACGTCCTCTATGTCCCGGTCCATCCCCGGCCACCAGACATAGCTCCGGGCCAAGGCTTTCATGTGCACCACCCCAGGGTGCGCTTCGTGAAGGGTGGTGAGGACTCGCTCCCATAGGGGCTTTGGAATGACCATCCTACTTCCCCACATGACACAGCCCCTGTGGACACTCGTCCTTCCGAGAAGAAATGGGTGCTATGTCAGGGTCTCCTTTGGCCGCGGGCCATCCCCTCACCACCCAGTCCAAGATCCGGCAAAAGTACCTTGTCCTTGGAGGTGCCGTGAGCCACCTCCGCGACGTGGACTGGGCGATCCGGAAGGGACTCCAGGAGAGTGATCTGGTAAGCAGGAGCAGGATCTGGGTCACAGACCAGCAGCGGCAGGTGGCTCAGGGCATCTGCATGGCCCACAGCGGCAGGCGGCTCAGGGCATCCGTGTGGCCCATTGCCTTGCCAGGGTGATGGATGAGAGTGTAGGAGTACCCCGCCAGGAAAATAGACCAGCGGAGCACCCGGGGCGAAATCATCTGGGGGCCAGGAGGCCCAGAAGCGGCTTGTGGTCCATGAGGACCCGTACAGATAGTGGTGAAACTTTTTCACCCCGCCACAATCGCCAGCGCCTCCTTATCTATCTGTGCGTAACTGTGCTCAGCCGCTGATAGAGTCCTGGAATAGTATGCAACTGGGACCTCGCGGCCATCCAGCAGCTGGTGGCCCAGGACCGTTCTCACCCCATAAGGGGAAGCGTCACATGCCAGCACCACCGGGAGCACCTCATTGAAATGCGCCAGGACCGCATTCGAGATAAGCAGGTCTTTGACTGCCTGGAACGCCGCTGCTTGTGGCAGACCCCAGACCCAAGGTGCCAACTTGTCCAGGAGGCGATGGAGTGTTTCCGCGACTGCAGCTTTGAGGGGCAAAAAGGAGTGGTATAAGTTCAGGAGCCCCCAAAAAGCCGCAGTTTGGACTTGGATGCTGGAGGCAGGGCCTGCGTGATGGCGGTCACCTTGTCCGCGGTGGGGTGGATACCCGAGGCGTCGACCACGAAGCCCAGGAACTTGACGTGAGGCACCCCCCAAGAGAATTTTTCCCACTTGACTTTGAGCCCTGCTGCATCGAAACGTTGTAGTACGGCCCTCAGACGGTCAGCGAAGGACGAGTCGTCCGGAGCTGCGATCAGCACGTCATCTAGAAGTGGCTGAACCCCGGGGATGCCTTTCAGGAGAGTATCCATAAAAGATTGAAAAATCCCGGGCGCGACCGAGACTCCGAACTGGAGGCGGTGAACGTTGAATGCCCCCCTGTGAGTTGTGATTGTTTGGGCTTCGGCCATGGCGGCATCAACCGACAGTTGTTGATACGCCTGGGCCAAGTCCAACTTGCCGAAGACCCGGGCCCCCGACAAAGCCACCAACACGTGGCTCACCACTGGCACCAGATAAGCGTGTGCCTGCAGAGCCTTGTTTAGCATGCATTTATAATCTGCACAAATGCACACATCCCCATTGGGCTTCACCAGGGTGACTATGGGGTCTCCCACCATGCCAACGCGACTGGTTCCAGAACCCCTTGTTCCACTAAGCGCCTCGATTTTAGGCTTCAGTGCTAGTGGCGGCAGCCTGGCCATGATGCGAATGGGCCGCACCACCGGGTTGAGATCCAGGGAGATGGGGGGGGCAGAGAAGCGTCCCAGGGTGCCATCAAAAATGCGGGGAAATTCCGCGCACACCGCGCCAAAATCCCGTGACCCGACCTGGTGGATTCCATTCAGAGAGAGTCCCTATCCACCACCAGCAGGTCTAGGGTGCCATTAAAGTCTTGGAACTGAACCCGGAACTTGCCCCAGCCCAGCACCGCCATGGGGTTCTTATTGAAGTCCCTTAACCGGAAACCCCGCGGCTTCTGAAGGGCCGGGCCCCCCTTCGGACATAGCATGTGGAGCGTATCTGCGGAGATAATGGAGTAGGTCAACCCTGTGTCGATCTTCATGCTGCAGGGGGATCCCTCTATAAGAACCATGACATGCATCTTGTTGGGGCCATCGGGGGGCAAGTTACAGACCTGGTGTTGCGGGAAGTGGGCCAATATGGAGTGGAGGTCGCTGGGCAGCTCCGGCGTGGTCTGGTGCCGGACGACTTCTGGCATTGTCCTTTGGAGCGGCAAACCCCAGAGGTGTGCCGGACGACTTCTGGCAGACTGCGTTTCGGAAGCGGCACAACCGGCACTCATGGCCCTCACCACAGCTGGCGCACGGGGCAGAGGCGGTCGAAGAGGCCTTGCTTGCGTTGGTGGACGGCTGAGACGACTGACGACGGACCTGGTGCACTTCATCCTCAT